ACTGAGGTGAGACAGCCTGACAGCAGCCCAAGTCTGAGCAGGGCACTGCCATGCTATGCCATTTCTGTGGCTCTTCACCTCCATCCTGTATCACCTGAGCCAGGCTGAGAAGTAACTCCCTGTCCCACCAAGGGAGAAGGGCAAGCAGGAGACTGGGAAAGAACACAGCCAAGGGGCAGCTCATCACAGGTGAGTTCTGGGAACATGCAAGCTTCTCCCAAAAAGGAAGGAGGACTCCATATATCCTCCCCTTTCCTCAGCTTCCCCTTCAGGTGCCTGCTGGAGATGGTACTTGGCATTACCTACAGTGGCCTCTTCTAAAATTACAAAATTTAGGTAGCGAAATATGACTAAGATCACCATGCCCAGTGGTCAGCCCATCCCCCCTGTGCCCAATGACTGTCTTTCAGTGCCATTTCTCCACATTTCTTGAAAACCTCCAGGGATGGTGATGTCCTCACCTCACCAAGCAGCCTGTGCCAATACATCACTACTCTATTGTACTAATATCCAACAGGAACCTCATTGGTACATCTTAAGGCCATTACATCTCATCCTATCACCGATAATGGCAAAAGAGGCTGATCCCCCCCTTTAATACAACTCCCTTTCAGATCACTGTAGAGAGAGACATAGTCCTTGCATATTTCCATAATTAACAAGGATGCCGCCACCCCATTTCCCCAGCAAACAGTCACCGGTCTGTGATGTCACCGTGATGCAGCACGGTCACCACCATGACGTCTGTGACCATCCCAACCCACTCCCCACTCCTCACACCACGGGTGCCATTGCGCTCCATTCTGCTGCTGGCAGGACGACCCTGGTTGGCCGGGGAGATGCTGTGGACAGAAACTTCTGTCAGGGAGAACAATCAATAATTAAAATGGAGACACTTTCATCAGAAACTCCTGGAGTTCCTGTTCCAAATGCTGACTTGGCAGACTCGGCTTCTCCTGTCCCGCAAAGACGGGGTAAAAGAACAGCTCGGGATGCTGCCTTAGGACCGACACGAGAAGGAAACACTTCTCAGGGGTCACAGGAGGAATCCCGTGCAAAAAGGCAACGGCTTAATCTTTCCACCAAGGGCTCCTGCAAAGCCCATGACTCGTCATGCTTCTTTCTAAGAAAGCTCTGTAACACTGTGGAAAGCGATTGCTTTCAGTCCATCTGGTGGGGTGACGATAAAAACTCCATTGTGATTGAGGAAACCCTCTTCAAGACAGAAGTGCTGGGAAGGACAGGACCTCTACACAACCTCAACATTGGTTGCATGAAAGCTTTCGTTCGCCAGCTCCATCTGCACGGATTCTTCATTGTGGACAGCGATTTGCCCACATCTGCCTCACGGGCAAAATTCCCAGCAGCCGGAGCCGCGTCTGTTTGCAGTGAGGTACGCAGTCCCCCTGCCCATGGGACACCTCTCGGCACGGGTGGGATTGGTGGCTGGTCCCTCCTGAGGGGGCTGAAAGTTGGTGGTATTTGGGTTTCCTGCTTTTGAAAATCCTAAAATTTCTGATTATTAGTTAATGTAGCTTTGTCTTTTCCAAACTGGAACATGGTCGCATCTAACTCTTCTCTGCATTTTGCAGGTACTCTGCTACTACAACCCCAACTTCAAGAGAGAGTACCTGCTGCTCCTCCATCGCCCGAACCAAACGATCCTTCTCCATCAAGGCTGGGACCAGACAGCGGAGCTGGAGGTGACGGAGTTGGACGTCAGCACAGTTTATGCTGTAGGAGATAGAGATCCCAGGTACCAGGTGAAACATTCTGAATATTTTCCAGTTCTCCTGTCCTGTTTCCTCATGTGACGGTGGCTCTTCCTGGGCCCAAGGGTGGGGGGTACTTCAGGGAGATTTCATTTCTCTCACCTGGTCCAAGCGATGATGGGAGCAACGGCGGGAGCGGGGAGGTACAAGGCGTGAGCTGGAGCTGCCTCAAGTACCCGATCCCCTTCCTTCTCTCTGCCTGTCCTCTCTGGGTGGATGCCACCGTGGCAGTGAGCCATTTGGCTTGTGGGGATCCCTGGTGGTCATGGAGGTGCATTTGGCTGTCCTGCAAGCAGCATGTGTCTGGCAGCAGCACTGCCCTTCTGCTCACCACCCCGAGCCATGCTGAGCTTCCTGCCAGGGAGCGGCTTCCAGCTGAGGGCAGCTTGCTGGTGCAAACACTGATTGAATCCTGCTCCAACATGAGAGGTGAGCTCCGATTCCACACAGGTGGGTGCTTTGGGAATATTCATACTCACAGTAATCAGGGACAGCTCTCTGAGCTGCCTGTGTCTGACCTCCCAACTTTTAGGGGAGCCCCAAACGGTGTTGTAGCAGAAATACACACATCCGTCTCTTTGCCTCACTGAGAAACTAATTAGATATAAGAGTCGTCTGCCCTCCTGAATGTCTGATAATAATCCCAAAGTTTAAGTCTGAGATTTTATCTGGCTTGGGGAGAGATTGTATTCTCCCAAGATCAGACTTTGTGGCAATGGAAAATGGGATCATGACTCTCCTGCTGGCAGAGTGGTGCGTAACAATGTTGATATAAAAAAATTGTAATCTCTTTAGAAAGGAAAGGCCCGATTTTGCTTGGCAGGTGTTATTTATTTTTCCTAGTAGAGGGTGTGAGAAGCTGCAGTTGGAATTTCTGGTTGGCTTTCCAAGATACTGCTGTGACATTTTAATGATGTAATTCCCCTCAGAGGTGGCATTTTCACTTGTTCTCCTGACCTATCGCTGTACATTTGGTGTGAAACAAACTGCATTGCTATCAGCCCTGACATCTCAGGCCCAGAGAAAAAAATAAGGCTGTGATAGTGATGCAGTGAATGGGCTCTTCATCCTGTTAATCCCAATCAGGGTGCAGAGGGATGTCTTGCCGGCACACTCCAGAGTCATGGGCTCTTCAGGTGAACACCAGTGTGATGCTGTTCACCTTTGCAGCTCCCACTGGCAGAGGTTCTGATCCAAGGAGCAATAACTTGGTGATTCCTGGCCTGATTACACTTTGCTCCTGCAAAGCTGCAGGTGGTATTAGTGCTGTTTGGACCCTTTTCTCACCCTACTTCATCAGATGAGATGCACAAGGGCATAATGTGGATGCAAGTGCTTCCTGCATCCCAGCTCTCAGAAACGCCCCGGAGACGTGGGAGGTGCCGAGCGGAGGACAGGGCTTTGCAGGATGTCCTACAGCCAACACTCTGCTTTCTGCTCTCCTGGGACAAACCAGATGATGCTGGTGTAAAACGCATACGATGAATAACACAACTACAGCAAAATAGTTTATGTAAAGCACTGATGTGGGAGAAGTTTCATAAGAGGTTTCATACCTCAAAAAGGCCTTTTGTCAAAAATAGAAGCATTTTCTCTGAGGAAAAAAAAAACACTCAAGAGCTTCTTGCAGAGCGTTCCTGCCATGCTGGTGCAGAGACCCTTTTTGAGTGTGAGAGACACTGTCATTGCTCCCTTCTGAGCAGGTTAGAGCACGGCCAACCCCTAATGCTCAGGCTGGGGCACGGAGCTCCCACCCCAGGGGCAGGGCAGTCGTGGTCACCGGGAGAATCCAGGCAGAGAATCCAGGCCATGGAAATCAATGCAAATGACTTCGCTTGCCGAGTTTCAGCCCATTTGCTCTGTAGGAAGCAGGGCTGTCAGCAGGGACAGGCAGTGAGAGGGATGGGATCTCACAGCTTGCGAGAGGAGATGGGGAAGGCAGCAGATGAGGGTTTTCTGCCTTTGGAGAGGATGTCAGCTCTGAGCAGGCAGGCTGGGTGTGGTGAGGAACAGGGAGCAGTGCCCCCAGATAGGCTCTATACCTCAATATTTGCAGTGGTTGTTTCCCTTGTGCAGGGAAAAACTCCACTTGTCTCTCTGATAATCGTTTCTAGATGCTTTAAAAGAACAGCACTCCCTTTGGAGAAGGACTCTGTTTGCATTCATAGCTGCATGTGATTAGATGCATGCCACAGCTACCACTGTCATTGTAGGTTAATTATCGGTAGTAATTAATCATCACCGCTTTCAGAAGGGTTTTCCTGCTGCTTGGCATTCTCAGCTTTCCCCCTGCCAGTGAAGCTTCAGTTTGGCAGGGATTTCTCCAGTCCCAGCAGGTGCTGGGAAGGTGGCACAGGGAGCTGTGTTGTCCTTCCTGGTGGATTTTTTAATTATCAATTTAAATATAGCCAGATGACATCTCTCCATGCTCACATGAAGCTTTACACGGGTCTTCTACAATAAGTCTTGTTGACTTTCTCTGACTGAGGGCAGATCTTATTGCTCTCTTCCAATACCTGAAAGGTGATTGCAGTGAGAGTGAGGTTGGTCTCTTCTTACTGGTGAGAGGTGACAGGACGAGGGGAAATGGCCACAAGTTGCACCACAGAGGAGGTTTAGGTTGGATATCAGCGAAAATGTCTTTACAGAAAGGGCTGTTAAGCACTGCAATAGGCTCCCCAGGGAGGTGGTTCAGTCACCATCCCTGAATGTGTTTAAAACCCATTTGGATGTGGTGCTCAGGGACACGATCTAGAGGAGGGTTGTTAGAGTTAGAGTAGTATGGTTTGGTTGCAGTTGGGCTTGATGATCTTAAAGGTCTTTTCCAACCTGAGCAATACTATAATTCTATGATTCAAAGTAGTGAAGCAGCAGGAACAAACCCTGTGAAATATCTGGTGGTTGCATATCAGTTCTCAAACACCTGTAGGCAATGTCAGCTTAGAAGAGGAAGAAGGAAGTATCAGGAGGCTCCAGGAGGCCACCTCAAGGATGGAGAGCCCCCAGGAGTGCTGCTGGCTGCAGGGCAAACAGACATAACCATGGCCACAAACATCCACGCTTGGAAGAAGACACTTCCAGCATCAGCCTCTCCACAACACTTTGGTTTTCTTTTTTTTTTTTCTGGCAGATCCATGCGCCGGATCCTAAAATGGGGTCAGGCATATGGGGTGGTGGTGTAAACAAATCCAACTGGCTCGAGTTCAGGTTCATAAGAAACTCAGTTGCCTTTTTATCTTTTTCAAACCAAATCTCAAGCATAAATGACACGGACGAGGCACCTCCTGGCGCCTGCAGCTGCTCCCCAACATTGCCTTTCCCATCCCCGTTCCTGCTGGTGGCAGGGAGCTGCCAGCTGAACGCCAGCCCCCCCGCAGCCCCACTCACATCCAGCAGCAGTTCAGCCAACTCAGAGCGCTTCAGACTCGGTGAATTATTTTCTGACAAAATGTTGGTTTATTGGGAAATTTCCGGCTGGCTCTAATTGGGACAGCTGTTGAGGCGGCAGTTTTCCTGAGAACTAAAAGTCGCTTTCAGATGAGTATGGCTCCTAAAATGGTGCTGCTTTGATAGCTGCTCGCTGCCTTTCTTGTCTGATTACTGAGCTTAGCATCTCCTTGTGAGCTTTAAAAAAAATCCACTTTGCCTGTCTGATCTTCCTTTTCTCTTTACTAAACATTATCTTCTGTCCTCCCTCCTCCTTCAAGGAGAACCTGTCAGCTCCCGTTTTATCCTAAATTTGAGCTTTGCGGAAATTAACATGAATAGCATTTCACATTAAGAGAATTTCTGTTGTTTTCTATTTTTTTTAACTTTTATTTTTTAACTCTGTAGCAGAAATGCCAAGTCACAGCCTGAAGAAGTGATTGTACACCTGGTGGGAAGGCAGGGCCAACCCAGGGGGCTCAGGTGCATGCAATGTACTGGAGTGACCAGAAGGGTGGAGCCAGGATCCACCCCTTCCCAGTCCTCATTTAAGGGTTGGCAGTGGAGGTGAAGGTATCTCACTGGAGATTCCTATCTATCTGAGGCTTTCTCAAGGTAAGCAGTTTTTCTTTCTTTGTTCCTGCATCCATGGCTGCTCTGTTTGGGCTTGTCCTCTTTTGCTGCGGCCTAGGATTGTACCACCCTATTATTATTGCTGTGCTTTCTATCACATTATAACACTTCATGCCCCAAGCTTCCCGGTGTTCACAAACACTGTCAAAAAAGTCAAAGCAAACATTTGCGTTGTTGCTTTGGTATGGGAGATCCTGCCAAGAAAATTAACGGGGCCTGTCGCCACAAAGGGAACAAACTCATCTCATTCTGCTGGTGGTACGAGACACACCGCCTGCTAGCTTCTGTAATGACTTGCTTAAAAAACATAATTGTTTTTTTCCTTTCTTTCCTGCGTAGACATTTGCCAAAGTAAAGGAGTTGGATAAAGGTGTATGAAGGTTCCCAAACAGCTCATCAGTCCCATAAACTCTATTTGTATGATGAAAGCCTTTGATAAGACAGTATAATGAGTGTCATCAATTTATTGATAGTGTCAAGGGAGCTTCTGGATGGATATTAAGAAAAAACTCTTCTCTGAAGGAGTGGTGAGGCAGTGGCACAGACTGACCAGGCAGGTGGTGGAGTCACCGTTCCTGGAGGTGTTTAAGAACATGTTGGTGCCTCACTGAGGGATATGGTTAGTGGGCATAGTGAGGATGGGTTGAACTTGATCTTAGTGTTCTTTTCCAATCTTAATGATTTCATGACTCTGATGTGGAAATTTTTCCTATATGGCTTTTCAGCAAAATGGGGCAAATAAGAAAAAACTATCTTGTCCTCTTGGTGTTTTGTTCAAGTCAAAATAGTGGTTCTTTCTCCATTCTTTTACTCAGAGTAGGTCGCGTTTTAAATGAACAGTGGTGTGCTGAGGTGGAAGAACTTGAAGCATTTAATTTAGAAAATGGATTGATGTAACATTTTGGCATTCTTAAGCAAAACATTTCATTTCAAAACAGCGGCAAAAAAAAAAAAGTGCTTTGATTGCTGCTCTTTATTCTTGG